CTCTGAGATAGAAAGGTGTGGGTTCAATCCTCATGTTGCAACTTTAAACTTATAGCACAGGCTGATGCTGCAATACAGACCTGGAGATTTGCTGCATTGTTGGATGAGCCGTCTTTTACATGAGACATTGAATACTTTGCCTGTTCAAGTGAACGTTAAAGATCCCGTGGCACTATTGAAAAGAAAAGGGAATTTCTCCTGGTGGCCTTGCTAATAATTCCCCTGAAATAAAATTGGCCATTCACTTTACTGTTGTTTGTGGGACATTGCTGTGCACAAATTAACTTACAAAATACAGTCACTACACTTTAGAGTATGTCCTGTGAAGCGCTTTGAGACATCTTCCCGATGTGAAAGGTGCTGTATCAAATGCAAGTGATATTATAAAACTGGTGCTTGTTTCATACTTGAGAATAATTGGAATAATTAGTCTACTTCATTTGCTTATGACAATATATTAAACGTGTAAAATATATCTGACAATTTAATGCAAAATTGGATTTGCTCTCCACTACTGTGATCATACATATTTATAAGGAGGAAAACATTAATGGTGTTCGTGAATGCAGCAGAACTAATCAAAGGTGAGAATGGTCTAGATTTTCTCTCTCAAAGATAACTTGTGGGTGTGTTGTGGACAGACCTGAGAATAGCGGAAGTTTGCAATGTAAAGATCAGTTCTTATCACAAGCCACTCATTAGACTTCACAGGGAGACCATAACACTGATATAGCCACTGGTAAAACTAAATTCTCTCTGCGATAAAGCTGTTAAAGAAAAAGATGCAAAGGGCAACAGTTTTATTTGACACAAAACCTACTGTATGTACCACAGGCATTATAATACACCTTTATAACTGGGGGTGGAAATCATTTGACAAAATATGTTGAATTTGAAAATTTTAAAAAGCAAACCTTTCGATTTATTTTATCTTAAGCTTAACGGAAAACATTAAACTCACTGTTCATTTGATAAGTGACGTATCTTTTTTTAAGGTATTTTCTCCCAATATTTTCTCTAACAATAAATAAAATTATTGGTCACTCACTCCACGGCTATTTGTGGGGCACTACTGGCTGCTGCGTTTCGCTAGCAAATTACACAGTCAATTCACTTCATAGTATATTCCTGCGAAAGGCATCTTGACATCAAATGCAAGGATTATTATTTGATGTCATCCTTCCAGAACACGCACACTACTGTCCTCTGGTCACAGCGAGAAACAATGTTTAAATTAGTTAAACTGAAAGAAATACAGTATGAAATGTTCTCACTCAAAAATGTACCACTCTATCAGATATAAATTTTATTTTATTTTCAATCAATCATTACCAGAGACAGATCTCGTTCAATTTTGCAATAAATTACAGAAGCCAGCTGGAAAAGACTGATAGCTGTATTGCATATTTTTGACAAATGGACTGCTGAATTCATTGGTGTTTTAATGTGAATATGAACACATAAGATATAAAAAGGCAATCTACCAGAAAGATACAATTACATTTTTACTGTTTAATCACTTTGGCTTTCAGTCGATGTTGTAATGGTAAATAATGGTCATATTTCATGTGTATTTTACACCCGAGGTGAATTACAGTCTTTATTCATCTACAATCATGATGCAAATCTATTAGAAATGTAAAATATATCTGATAACATTTTATAAAAATTTCAGGTCTTTTTCTGCCCGAACCACAAACACGCCTTGTTATCAAGGCAAAACATTAATCATGTAGTGAATGTCGCAATTGCAAAGGAGTCTGACTAATCAAGCGTGTCTCGGTTCTCAATCTTCTCTTTCAAGGATAAGACATGGGTGTGTTGTGGACTGAACTGAGAACAGCAGAAGTTTGCAGTATAAAGGTCATTTTTTATAATTATTTACTCCATACACCAGGGTGCACTTTAGACTTCACAAGAATACCAATAGCACCAGCAAAAACCCACAGATACTCCTCTGCCCAGAAATGTCTATACACTGCATCCAACTTCAAATTCAGAGCATTGTATTCAGAATTCCACAGCCATTAAATCCAAACTAAGTTCTGGCTCATCTTCAACCCAAACTGCTGCGTTGCTCAGTGTAGGCTAGCGTCCCAGCGAAGTGCCTTGTGTAAGGGGCGCTATATAAGCAGTGCCTTGGGACGTCCTCCCGACGTGAAGGGGGTTTTCCAAATGTTATCTTGTTGTTGTTGTTGTTGATGTTGTAAATGCAAGTTGTTGTTGATATTTAGAATACTTCAAAATGGATACAGAGGCAAACTGCTGGTGTGGGGGAAGGGGCTTGGGTAGGATTGAATGTGAATTGACTGGGAAAAAAAGCTAGGTTTGCATAATGGACATATAGCTTGAGCTAAGTAAGGATAATATCTTCTTTAACTATACACTACTTGAACGTCTGAAAGGAGAGTCTCCTTACACGTGTGAAGGTATTGGTAAAGAATGTTAACAGCAGCTTCTCTCTTGCATATTCTGCACAACTTTCCACGCAATATGTATTGATTAACCTGTAAAACTCAGAATAAAATCTCACAGCATTTGACTTGGCAAAGGAAGTTTGGCTTGCCATTTGCTGTAAAAATACAGCGTTACAAGTCCTGACATCAGGACAGCTTTCTGGTTGCCTTTGCGACTTTATAATAATAATAATAATCCTTGCATTTGATATAGCGCTTTTCACGTCAGGAGGACGTCCCAAAGCGCTTCACAGAACACACTGTAAAGTGAATTGACTGTATATTTGTGGGCGAACGCGGCAGCCAATTGCGCACAGCAATGTCCCACAAACAGTCATAGATTGAAAATGACCAATTTAATTATTGTTTTTAGTTTTGGAGGGATTATTATTAGGCGTGTGGAGTAAGGAAACTTGCCCAAGGTTTCGCCCTGCCTGGAATTGAACTCAGGTCTCTCACTTGCAAAGCGAGTGCTCTAACCACTGAGCTACAGGACTTTAACATTTAACAAGTAGGTTCTGCTTTGTTTCTGGAGTCACTTTGTCGCAGGAGCATTGAAGAGTCGAGACGGTGGTTTTCATTCAGTCTGGGTCGCACGTATTGCTTTGAGGCCAGGCAGGAACAGTGAAGATTAATGCGGTTAGACAAACCAAGCAGTAATTACAATGCAAGTGAGGATGACAAATTGACAGTCACAAGACAATCTTTCCTCAGATTCCCATGGTTTCAGATTAAGAACTCGAGTGCTCCCAACTGACTGTTTCCCTAACACAGACTGAAATGCTTTTCTTATTATAAATGATTTATAATAAACTCAACGAAAACTGGCGAGATGCACAAGGAAAACATTTTACACTCTTTCTTTGTAATCCATTTTGCTCGGTCACACATTAATAGTGTTGGATACCTCTATACTGAATTTATACTTCAATTGTAGTTGAGTACATTCAGACTAGAGTATTTACATGTCAATATATATATATTTTTATCAATGTATAAATATACTTTGACTCTGAGTAGATGTTGTAATGTAAAATCAAATACGTGACATCCCAAGCCCTCAGCTCAGCAATCTCCAAAAAAAANGGCCAAACGACTTCAAAATGTTCATTTCCTCAAAGATGACACATTTACAGAGATGTCACATCTCAGGCTGTCCATACATGCTCCACAATAAGGTATTTTCCAGATAGAGCTGCATGTTGTATCTTTTTTTGCGTCATTGCTGTTGCAGGCGCTACCAGAAGTTCGTTAAACAGTACGTTTCGAGAATGTAGAAAGCCCATTTTGTTTAAATTATGGGATAATGCTTCATCGATCACTTGCCATTCAGTTCCAGGCCAGGACTAAACACAACAGAAAGCAGAGTTGGTATTGACACAGCACCATTTGTCAGGGCAATATGAATAATAATAACAATAATAATCCTTGCATTTGATGCTTATCATGTCTTCGAGCCGTCTCAAGCACTTCACAGAATATACTGTAAACTGAAATGACTGTATATTTTGTAGGCGAAACAAGGAGCAAAGTACCTCAACTTGCAGGTAATGTATTTTCTTACCATTTTTTGTATGGAATTCGTTTGAGTGAGCGGAGGACATGGTGAATCATTTGACTCCTGTAGCAGTGGCTCATTGCTGGCGTACTGATGAGTAAAAGCTTCCTATTAGCTACGTTATTAAAATGAATTATATGAGAAATGGTTAAAAACGTATCGAGGCTCTTGGCCTTAAAATCCTACATATGAAGTCAGAAAAGCTCATTAAAGGTTAATGGGTGGATTTGACAGAAGATGAAGAATGTAGCGTGAATCTTTCAGCATTAGGATAATGGCCTGATTTGGCGGTAGCACGATATACAATAATAATAATTTTAGTAATCTTTGCATTTGATGTAGCTCTTTTCACGTCTTCTGGACGTCTCAAAGCGCTTCACGGAATACACTATAAAGTGAATCGATTGTATATTTATGGATTTGACTGTGCATTTTGTGAACCAAATAATTAATAAATAAATGATTTGAATAATAATTCATGCGTGAACTGTGGCAACAAGTCTACTATTAGGAAAAACAACTAACTATTAGGAAAAAGCCTTTTAAATGAACAGATTTCACAATCACTTAATAACTATTGATTAAAAAAAAACTAGCATTGTGTCATCACCTTACTCAAACCTTGTGAGGTTTGTTGGCAATCCATGGAGCTTTCTTCATTCTTAAATCCTGGAGGTTGATGTGTATGACAGGACAGGCTAAAGGCCATTGAGTGTCTGTGAAACTGACGAGCTTCCAACAAACAGGCAGGGAAGGATTTCATAAGGAGGTCTAAACCGAGAGACTGACTGTGATTTCAATTTAGCAAGCACGTACATTTTTTCTCCCTTCCCAACCCCCAGTTACGAAACTCGCTGACAATTACTGAAAGCTCTTTTCCTTATAAGTCGCAAAAAGATTGGACAGGAACAATATCAACAAACAAACAAACAAACAAGCAAAGAAAGAAAGAAAGAAAGAAAGAAAGAAAGAGAAACAACAAAGAAAAAAGTATAAATCCCAAAGAGGTGTGCGATCAAAGTTCCTTTTCGGTTGATGATTTGGGATCGATTGTGAAATGGATATCAGTGGTGCTTTGCTGTGGCTGCTGCTGTTCCTTGGTCTGGGATTAGTTTTGAACGAAGCCAGCGTTGAAGGTGGCTGTTTGGATTTGGCTACTTGCTGTAAGGGCAGAAATAACCAGTGTAACACCACTGGCTGGCGTCCTGATCGCTACCATGGAACCTGTTACTGCGATGAAGCTTGCAGACACACTCTGGATTGCTGTCAGGATTATGAACAGGCATGCCCAGGTAACTCACCGAGCTTCTCTGTTTCACCCTCTTGCACTCTACTGCTTTATGCTTTCAAATGTGCGTCTGCACCTGTCGATCTTGTGATCTGTACAAATATATTTATCCTATGCATATCCACAGGGTCAACATAAAGTCGTGATACCATTGCAATGTCTAATGAGTCTTAAAAGAAATGCAGATTTTTCTTTAGAGAATAGGGTAGATATCATGACTTTTTGGTCACCCTATATGTATGTATGTCTAAGATAAATATATTGTAAAAATCACAAGATCAACAGATCCACAACCCTGGAGACCTGTAGTTTAGTGGTTAGAGCATTTGCCTCGCAAGCAAGAGGACTTGGATTTGATTCCCGGGCAGGGTGAAACCTTAAGCAGGTTTCTGCCTTACTCCACACGCCTCTGTTTACCTCTGTTTACCTAGCAATAAGTAGGAGCTCGGTTGTTAGTCGATGACTGGATCGCTTTTCCGGGTTAATGATCCCTTAAAAAAATAATAATAATAATTTGGTCACTTAATTCACGGGTGTTTGTGGGACGCTGCCGTGCGCAAATGGCTGCCGCGTTTCGCCCACCAAATATACGGTCAATTCACTTCGCAGTACATTCTGCGAAAGCGCTTTGAGAGACGTCTCGAAGATGTGATGAGGCGCTATATCAAATGCACGGATTATCATTATTATTATTATGATATTTTTAAAATGTAACTTGACTGATACATTGCGCGAAGTGTTTTGAGACGGCTCCACGAGGCGATCGGGTCAGGATTGTCACTGTCTGATTTCTTCAGCCACCCCTTGCAAAGTGACTGACTGGAGCTCCTGGAGTGGCTGCGCAGAGCAATGCAAGAGGACCTACAGGGCTCGGCGTCGCTCTGTCACTCAAGAGGCGCAGAACGGTGGTGAGGCATGTCCACCCCTGGAGGAAAGAGCAGGCTGTGTGGACTATCTCAGCACCGAGGGCACAGCATGCAGGCAATCCCTTGGTACGTACGTCGTGTGTTATGTCCAAGAGCTTTGTGGAGCATTCATGGATGTGGGCAAATGCGCAGTGAATATGTCATTACAATTTATCTGCCAATCCAGTTCCAATCTGTGTGCAGATGAATTTCAAACTCTCTAAAGCCCACTTAAAAGATTCATTTAATCTTTTCATTCAACATGTAGAGGGTTCTACCTTTATGAAGACAGGCTATAGGAGCTCACAAACTATCTTGACCTTATATAATATTGTAAGTTACATTTTTATTGTTATTAATCATCATAGCAATAATGAGGATGAAGGATTGCGACACTGTGATTTTTCTTTTCAATCTGCTTTAAAACATGCTCTTTCGTTTGATGTCAAAGTAAATCTTGAGCGCAGTTAAGAAGTACAAATCTTTGTTTATATCCATCTTGGGCATCTTTCCCATGTTGTCACTCATGATTTGTATCATTGTGTTTCGCTGTGTACAGTCCCTGCATTAATTACCACAGGGGGGTATGGGAAAGCTCAGAAAAAGCGAGATATATTCAGTGACTACAAGGAGCCAGGGTAAGTAAAAGGTTACAGATTTGTCTGCCATATTATCATATAATTTTATGACACTGATTGAAATCATGTCTAATTACATTTTACATCCAAACAATGAAATCAAGGGGAAACCTTCTAACTATTAATCCCAATCACTCTGACTCATTACTGCTTCACTAGGTCTTACTGCTGTTTAGAATTGGTGGGTGCCAAGGCTTTGAAGTGAATTCAATTTGGGAAGTTGATCCAGTTACCATGATTAGGAATCCACACAGAATTCACATTTGGTAGTTTTGACTCAGATAGGAAATATTCAACCATAAACTATACAGTCAGTTCACTTTACAGTATATTCTGTGAAGCGCTTTGAAAAGTCTCAAAGATGTGTTAAGGCGCTATACCAAATGCAAGGATTATTATTATTATTATTACATTGTTGGTCAGGAAGTTCCCCTGGCTTAGATCTGATTCCTGTTTTACTTGGTCTGCTTGAACGACAATATCCATCTACAATACAGCAGTAATATTCACTAACTTAACACGCGCCATTAAATAAATAATTATTTTTTGCAGCGACATTCCTTTGCAATTTACCGACGTACAGGTTTGACTGTGTCCAGATAGTAGATTTTAATTCTTGACTAATTTACTGGGAATAAATGTTACCCCTTATACTTCGTTAGAATTAAAGCACTTGAAAGAATTTGAAACCGAGCTCAGTTTTAGGATTCTTGTCGAATTGTGTAACACATGTGCGTTTACAACTGTAAATATTATATGAGAAACCTGATAAGAAGCTGATCGAAGTAGCCTCTCCTCCCCTTGTCTGGCTTTAGTTCACATCTAAAGGAATCATCTTTATCCAGCGCCTTAATCATTTCCATTCACAAGCTGACTTCAGTTTCTTATTCTTTTTCTCTTTGAATCTGTAATAAGTGGGTTCAAAATTGATCGATTATTGACAAGTGTGACAACTATTGTGGGGCATAGTTAACAACAACGATGACGACAACTTCCTTATGGCAAATTTTATCCAATTCTGTAGATTTCTATCTCGGTGGAATAAACATGAATTTTCCCTCTCTTGCCTTTACCTTTACCCGGCAGGTACTGTGTGGAATTCCAAATCAAATCGTTGACTCAGAACTGCTTGACACAGAATCGTCCCCACACTTGGTGGATGCAATATCTTCGAGAAGGCTTCACCATCTGTGTTGAATGTCAGCTTCCTGCACTGAACTCTGGCATCCAGCGCTGTTCTGGAGATGGGATTGAGGCTAAAAGGTAAGGGATGATTTGTTTCATCGACTCGTGAAAATAACCCGTGGCTTGAAATCAACCAAACTCTTTGGACAAGTTTTACCAGACAGTTTCATTTACTTTTGCTAATACTTAATGAGTGTGCTTGTAATAAAGGTAAAAACAATTCATTTATATCATTTATATGGTTATATATAATCGGAAAGTCGTGATACCATTACAATGTCTAATAGGTCCTAAAGAAACAATGATATAAACATTTTCTTTAGGGTATATATCACACTTCTTGGTCACCCTGTACATAACTAGAGGCAACTACTCCAGCCTCTGGGTGATTCATTTTTGGGTGGGAGAGCTCAAGACGAGACTTTGCTTTTCAGTTCTCTATTAATGATAATGGATAACTGAAGGGCGGTTTTGAGGTTGTAAATTAATTATCTGCCTGTGAGACCAGTGGTACTCTAAACACTTCTAAACCAGCCTCCCTCACCCACGCAAACTGCTTGTGTTTTTCGAGCAGCTGTTCAGCCTCTTTCCAGGTGATGCCAGGCTGCAGAAGCTTCCTTCTCAACACTTGGCCTTCCACATTTCCCTTTTCCATTCAGACGCTCTTAATTACAAATTTGAAATAACATTAGAATCCATTGGAAGGAAAGGTTGAGTGGAATTTAATGGTCTTTTGAACGCGAGAGTTGTGAGCTCTCGAATGCGTGCTCATTTTGAATAAAGTGCTTAATTTATAATAATAATAATTCTTGCATTTGATACAGCGCCTTATCAGGTCTTTGAAACATCTCAAAGCGCTTCACAGAATATATTGCAAAGTGAATTGACTGTATATATTTTGTGGGTGAAACGCGGCAGCCGATTGCGCACAGCAGCGTCCCCACAGACAGTCGTGGATTGAGTGACCAAATCCCTTGGTTTCAGGAGAGCTCAGATTCATTCACATCCTAACAGAACGAACTAACAGAAAATCAAGCCTGATCCGATTTACCAAAAACAAATCAATAAATAAATAAATAAAGGTGTGGCGTTTAGTAGAAGGCGTGTCAGTGCTTGTGGCGGGGGCAACTCCTCATTGGTTTGACAGCTTACGGTCACCACGGCCTTGACGTGTAATAACGCTCACACGCATTTATGTTCTGGGTGCGTTTGGCAAAAAAGGAATTTGAGATTTATTGTGAAGGCCTGGACGATGAGCGCAAGTTTCCTGCAGCTGAATGTCGTCGGTAAGACAGAGGCCGTACTCTGTGGCTCCCGTCAATGTCTTCTCTCCCTCTACCCCCACCCTGGCTCTTTGTGAGACTCTGCCACTCTCAAGCGCTCTGGGACGCTACCCCGTGTGAAGGGCGCTCTATAAACGCAATTTGTTGTTGTTGTTATTATTGTTGTTGTTGTGAATGTGGTGGCAATGGCTGGTCTCACAGCCTGCCGGCCGCTCTCTTGTAACTTGGCCCATTCTTCATTCCGAGCCCACGCAGTTATTTCCAGCGCCTTGCCTGAGTTACGGTGCTGTCACAGCCGATCTTGATCCAGTCCACACAAGCGTAGCTTTCAGCTGGGGCTTTACTGGATAGATTTAAAAGCAGAAACACTGACTGATGTATTTTCCCCTTTCCTAGCGAATAACCTGGGGATCAAACACGGGGTCTCGCTAGTTTGTATTGATCAAATACCCAATGATTATGCTATTTGGGCAGCAGGAGTATTTAAGTGCCAGCTGTGAATGGTTTCAAGCCTGAAATACACATTGTAAATGCTCCCTGAACCTCGTGAGTGTGCTGTATCTGTCAACACACTGCTAAATATTTTGTTATAAGTAATGCATTCACCTCGAATGCTTCTATATTGCTTTAATGAATGACCCTAATCATGCCCAGAGGCTTTCCCTTCTCCATCACCGTTAATGGACATCCCTTCATTGTGTACAGCTGTTCACAAACACACACACACACACCATCGATGGGTGAACTTTTAGCCATTCTGTCTCCGCTCTCGAAAACTCCATCCTGCGATATATCTGTCTCGTCCCTTCAGTCGTTATCTTTAATGCCTGCTTTGAGACAATAACAACAACAACTCCCAGAAGTGCAAGGCAATGTATAAATGTTAATCGCTATAAATGTAATAACATACATTCATACACTTGGTTAGTTTCAGTTATTCCCGTGGAATTATCAATTTTCTTCTCTTGTTTTCTAACAGGAATCAGCTTCTTCAGTGGCAAGCAGTCGGTAGTCCTCATTGTAAAGGAACGTGGAAGTGGATCCGACAGATCAAATCATGTTCATGTCCTTCAGTCCACAGCTTCGTATTTATTTGAAGTAAATTTGTTTCACTCCAGAACATTTGCACATCACTGCTCTCTGCTGGCTTATGGCTCCTCCAGAAACCTGTGTTGGACTAATGCTCTTTGGTGCAATTTCCAAGTACATCGAATCATAGAATTATTCAGCACAGAAGGAGGCCATTCGGCCCATCGTGTCTGTGCTGGCTCTTTGAGAAGAGCTTCCAAATAAACCCCACTAGCCCTGTAAACTTGAACTCCCCAAATAATTATCTAATACCCAGTTTCCTGCCATCTTTCTGAAATGCTTTAACTTCTCCATTATTTCTAAACAAAGGCAAATGATACATTAAGCTTATCTCTTGGGAGCAGGGTGTCCCTTGTATTTGCTATAGTGCCTTTCCCGTCTGGAGGACGTCTCAAAGTGCATCACAGGATTTACTGTAAAGTGTAGTGACTGTGTTTTATAGGCAAACATATATAAACATTGCATTGGTCAAGGGGGGCCATCGGGACTCAAAGCACCCGTGCTACAATTTATACGCTGACGTCTTGTAACCATTATCTTTTAAAATGAATTTACAGCAGATTTTGTTGTCTCACCCTGAAAAATAAATTATGTCATGTGCTTAGAGACACCCTCTGCAGCTTTAATAGAAATCTGTGGGGAAGTGGAGCTCACTAAATCTGCCTTTGTGCAAATAAGCACTTTCCTGCCAACTTGCTTATAGATCAGCATGGGATGTGACTGCACAGGAGGTCATGCCTCATTTCACTTCTCTCAAGTGTCAGCTTTTTGACAGTAAAAGTGAATAACGATAGTGTGGAGAAGCTCATTCAGATAAGCCAGCTGGACGCTCTGAAATATCTGATCAGATAAATAGACTTTGGTTCAGGTTAAACCCACTGGTGAGAGGAGTAGGGAATGAGGAAATGACTGAGGCAATTTTAATGCCCTTTAAAATGTGTTTTAACGTGTAATTGTTTAAAAACTTTTCAGAGCACAATCTGTCATTATGTCTAGGAAAGATTAAACCTGCTAATTAAGATGCAGTCAGTGTCCAATATTCCTAAAGCACTCAGTATGTCCTTCCATGTTAAGCATGATAATATGTCTTTAATCCCCACTTTGTATTTTCCGAACTGCATGTATCAGAATAATGGACTAGACTCACATCACTCGGTATCTGCATCTGGCTTATGGAGGATGCACAAGCTTGAGCATTGCCAGGCACAATTTATTCCTCAAGAGAAGACCTTTTGCTGACTGCAAGTCGGGAAGCTACTAACACATACATTTCCTGAAGCTTTACGACACAATTTCATGCCTGGCCAATGCTACCACAATGAATGTTTGCCAGCATCGGCTGCCTTTATTGTGTTTGATTCATCAATTATATTCAGTACATAGCTCTGATTTAAAGCTATGGTATCTGTACATGGATTAATGCAATGCAGTGGGTGCAGTTGTAGAAGAAATGCCAAAACAAATCCTTGTAAATCAATACAATCGTATGGGTGGCTGCACTGGGAATAGAAGTTCAATATTTCCTGTAAGCCTCTTATTAGAGATGTCAAAAAGGTCTCAGTTGGATTGGATAGACACGTTTATCAAAAGTGCTTGCAATATCAGAATGGTGTTAACAAATTGCACGTGAACGATTGGATTCGGCGCGGGTTAAGTTAATTCAACATAGAAATAAAGCACAGGCCTTAAAATGGACAACCTTTAATTCGGTAATTCCAGCATTGAATGGGTTAAACATTCATGAAATACACATTAACTTGAAACACACATCTATCTTCACAACAGCAAGAAATTAACGATAAGTGCAGCTCCTCATTTTGTCACTTTTGATCGCCAATTCAGCTAAATCTGCAACATATATGCCTAGAATATGAGTTTAAATCCTTTCAGTTTTCCAGTAGAGACATTACATACTTTGATTTAACTTTTTTTTAAAAAGAAAATTCACCAAACACTGAAGCTACATTAATACATGTAAGGAAATATCTTTTGTTTGATGGCTGAATAAAATAGGATACCTATAAGTGCTCATAAATTTCAGCATTTGTGCAATCTGTGTGGAAAAAAAACTTTGCGGAAATGTTGGCAGCATTCCACATCATAGTTAATGACTGTCGACAGTATTCTCTCTGTGTGCCAGGTCTGCAAACAATTCTACATTGTAATTTCTTGAAACTTTCACTTTGGACAATCTCTGAGAGCATTACAGTGACATTGCCATTGTTTGAAAAGTGCCAGATACAGTTTTGCTCAACATTTTTAATTGGGTCATTTACTCAGACGCCGCTATGTGGTGCAACTGGGAATGACATCCATGAAATACTCCTGCAAAACAAGTCACCTTGATGGACATAATAGGGAATCATTCAGTTAGCCTGAAGGATGTGTACTGACGAACAGGGGAAATTCACAGCCCTGCTTATAATCGCAGCAAAATTAAACAATCCATGTTTAATTTTTGCAATCATTACAAAGAATATTTAGACATCGAAAAAGGTTCTTGTTTTACTCCAGTTGGGTAAATAATAATAATAATAATAACAATCCTTGCATTTGATATAATGCCTGTCACATTGGGAGGATTGCCACACCAGCAGCACTCCATTTGAGCGTCAATCTGAATTATATGAGATCAAAGTCCCAATGTGGGCCTTGAACCTTCTGACTCAGAAGTGAGGGCGCAAGCAACTGAGCCAGGATAACTCTGCAAAAAAAAAGCATGCACAAATATTTGCTTTGATGAGCATCTGGCTATTATTGATCATGAAAAATGTATCAGCTGTAAAGCAAGCGGGTTTCAAAGAATTGTATTTTAAAGGAGTTTTTTTAATATTATTGAAACGTAAATCAAATTGCAGTTTTGTATTTCTCTTGCAGGCGCTGTTATGAGGAAATTATTTTATGTTCTAAACCATTACAGGAATCAATTCACTAATTGAAATGATCTGCCTCCTCATTAGTTCAATGCCTGTCTGCCTTCCACTGGGAAAAGACTTCTGCTTTGCTCTGTTCCATTTAAATAAAGGCTCAGCTGAGACTGAGAGTTTGTCAGCTGGGAGACTGAGTGCACTTTACCTCCAGTGCAAACATTATACAATTGAACCCATACACAGCTTTGCTGATAACTACACTCTGTACACAGTAGTGGTCAGAAGCACAGTGTGGTGGAAATCTACAGGCCACCCATGTGGAAGTGACAGCTCTGGCATGATAGCAGAGTGTTTTTCTGCTTCTAATTGTATTCTTGCCGTCTGTTTTGCTAACGAACATAGAGGCGAACGACTTGATGTTTCTTCACAGATAGTCACATGAGTCTACCTTCCAGACACTGTGTATGGTAATCAGGAGTAGGAGCTCTAGCTGGTTTAGGTCTTACTAACCTAAGGGATGTGAGGCCATTTGTAGTTAACCCCCAACTGCTGTCTCATTGAGATCAGCTAACTATAGTTGGCCAGCAAATAAAGAGAATCAAAACCATAAAGTATCCTGGATCTCTCTCTCTCATGCTGACTTAGAAGGGAGTGAAAATAAGTCATTAAATTGTAGAAATAGACTTTTTTTTCTCCCTTCAGTGAGAGATGTTCTCTTCCCTTAGCCCCTTACTTCTGAAGAGTGGAGCTTTCCCAGTGTTGATGCCTAAGGCTTCTGATCTCACAGTGGAGCTGTCAAAGGGAAGCACTAAACAAGACTGGGGAAGGTAAGGTCTTGGCAACACCTGCTTGACTTCACTTCTTAATGAATAACTCATATAGGGTGTGTTGTTGGGACAGCAAATGGTGCATTGTACTCTCTGTGATGAGCATGTGAATGGAAGTAAAACAAAAGTCAAGGTATTTCAAAAGCAGCTGCCTGGATTGTGAGTACAAGGAACAGAAATGATACTTCTTATTTTTTCTTAAGTTCAGCAAAATGACCGTAAATAAAACCTGCATTTAGATCCTAACGGTTGCATTTATTTGAATGCATTCTTCAGCTGCTCCACTTTCTGTGTGGCAGCAAATCCTGCCAGTTCAACACCGGTTGAAACTAAGCTCGTTAATTAGCTTAAGACATAGGGAATTAGCTCGGTCGTGATAGGCAATTAATGCGGGAGAATGACAACGAAAAAGGGCCACAGCATTGTCGGTGTTTCAGAGAGTTTAATGTTGTTCTGTTTTGAATTTTAATTAACATATACTCTGGCATCATGTGTATTGGGGTGGGAAGTGCTGGACAGGACTTTGAAGACTCAGTGAGGATGGAATTACTGCAGAAAATGGGTGTCTAATCTGGCTGTGCAATCCGAGGCATTGTAGAAGGACTTTTCCACCCACGCAGCTCTACGCTAAGCAGCCTTGAACTTTTGGCAGCTGCAAGAATTACAACAGCATCGATGTGTAAAATGTTACCTGGCAGAGATAGAATGTTAAACATCCTTTTTTTTCCTTCCCTGTTATTTCCAGCTAGTCTCTTGCTTTCAATTTTCCCACATAGATTGATTGCATTACGATTGGGGATAAACTGTGCAAAAAAGGCAATTACACTTTGCTTGGCTCCTCTCCTTGGAGTCGGTTCAAACGGGGAGATCCTACTTACCTTAAGCAGCCCTCCCTGGGGATATTTTTAGACACTGTATTGAGTTTATTGACCTTGGAAAGGGTGAAGAGCTGAGTGAACTCAGCGGAATTCAAATCCGGAGCCACTTTTCCCACATCCAAGTGACGTTTCAACCAAATGAAGCCACCTGGGTGATCTCCTGTACTTGCAATGGAGTGGAAATTATGCAATGAGATTCTACCTCATTCTGCAGCTCCCTTTATAGGTCACAAAGGATTCGTCTGCTGAGCCTAAATTATTTGAGACCTTGCCTTTCAGTTTAAAGCCATCTCCTCTGTTCAACGAACACACTGTAAATTCCATTATAGGACATTGACTGTTCCGCTGTTATTGTGTTTGTATTCCCCCCCCTGCAGGTTCTGCTTCTGCCCAGATATTTTAAAGTAGTGCAAATCACATGAAATAGCGACGACTTCATTTGTTTCTTTTAATTCTCTTGTCTTCTGACTTTTTTTAAAAAAAAACCCAAGCAAATCCAAATTGTATGGCAAGCCACGGTACGTTTCCAGAAGAAAATTGAGGATCTCATCAGCTTGTCACTCTGACCGAGCAGGGAAAATACTAAGGCGCAAAATGAACCCATTTGCTTCTTGATCCACCCTTAAAAAAAAAGAGAAAATGTAGTTGTATAGCAATGAAGTGAAATTCAATAAAAGAAAAGAAATAACTTGAATTCCCAGTTCACTTCTGCACATATGGTCAGACTCCAGCAGATGGCACACAGTGTCTAGAGAGCCCATTACTTGGGAGATCAGTTAGTTTTACAATCACATAATTTATAAACTTACTAAGCAGTTATTAGGTTTTAATAATACAATAAAAATTGTACTATTGCCATATTCCCTATCAAATAAATAGTAAGGCTGATATTCAGGAAGAAGATATTTTTACCATCATTTAGGCACCAGCCTGGATTAGTTGGTGACACTCTTACCTCCGAGTTAGAAGACTTGTGTGTTCAAGCCGCACGTCAGGACTTTGAACTCACGTTAACTGTAGCCTGACACTGTAGTTCAATGTCTGGGGATGTGCTGCTTTATTGGAGGGTCTGTCCTTGGGATAATACATTCCATCGAGGTCCCTATCTGCCTGTTTAAGGACTTTGGAGCTCCTCGAAAAGAGAAGGGAGTTCCTCCTGGTGCCCCCACTTTCACCTACAAAATACATAGTCACTACACTATGAAGTAAAATTCAGTGAGGTGCTTTGAGATGCCTTCTGGATGTGAAAGGTGCTATATTAAATGCTGGGAGTCACTCATGTTCTATGAATTGGGTTGATTCATTACCCACCTTGCATTCAGTTTTTAATCTTTTTTTNATATAAAATGACAGCTATCGAACCACCTTCGCTTGTATCGTTCCATTTGACATAAAGCCTTATAACGTCTGTGAGACGTCTCAAAGCACTTCACAGAATACACTGTAAA